ATTCAGTTTTTGTAAAACTGTTGTATAATATTATACATATCCAATATTCAAAGAGAATAAGTCACTTTGTCAACCTTCATATAATGTCTAGTCAAGACCTTACTCAAGACCTTACTCAAGATTTTACTCAAGACCTTACTCAAAACCTTACTCAAGACCTTACTCAAGATCTTATTCAAGATCTTACTCAAGATCTTACTCAAGACCTTACTCAAGACCTTACTCAAGATCTTACTCAAGATCTTACTCAAGATTTTACTTAAAATCTTACTCAAGACCTTACTTAAGATCTTACTCAAGACCTTACTCAAGACCTTACTCATAACCTTGCTGAAAAATTATGTAGTAGTTGTTATGTAACAAAAGAAATTATCTATTTTTGTCATCCTACAGCTACCAAATCACAACATAAACATGCTACATGTAATAAATATTCTGAGAGAATAAAGAATAAACAGCAAGAAAAAAAATTGATACATCAAAAAATCAAAAAAATAGCTCAAAGCATTAGCAATATTACTTATATCTCAAGTGCAAGCAGTGATTTACAAATAATCAAGAGCATAAATTTCACTAATGATCTTCTAGAAGTGGCACCATATAAGAGTTTTAGTACTGAAGATAACAACCAGAAAAATAAAAATAGTGACCAGGATAAAGATAGTGATGAGGATAAAGATAGTGATCAGGATAAAGATAGTAACCAGGATAAAGATAACAATCAGAAGGATGAAGATAATGATAATTATAAAGTACTTCTATATAATTTGAATGAAGTATGTAAAATTACTTCAAAGTTATTTGAAGGCACAAAAGAATCTAATGAGTTAATAAAATTTGTCTTTGAGATCGAATTAGATGAAGATCTGATTAATACTGTTACTTTAACTCAACAAGATTTAGTTAATACAAATGATTTAAAAATTATTAAAGAGAGATTCAACTAGCTTGCTAAAATACTTACCATACTACTAGACTCTGGCTCTGGCTATTATTGGGAAATAAGAATAATATGGCTAAAAAGCTGTAAAAAAAATTCACTGGCTCTGTTACAGTACATCTTTGCTATACAATACAAGATGATAGAGCCTGGATAAGGCCAAATAACCAGACACCCAAATAGCATAGTGAAGCCAGAGCCCAATAAATAGATATAATTGTATAGGAAAAATCAAACTTATTATAATCCCAGAAAATAAATATGTTCTTGTACAAGGAAATCATAATATAGCACATGAGAATCCAACATATTGTCAAGTTGAATTTTCTGTAAATACAAAAGAATGGATTCAAAATAACATTAAATTATATAATTTGTGAAGTACAAAAGTTTATTGATGACTCTGTACAGATAAACTAATCAATCCAAAGATTCATACTGCTGAGAAAGTATACTACTAGATATTTGCACTCAATAAGGAAACCTATGTAAAAAATCAAGAAAATTCTCTTTTAACGGCAAAATTATATCTTGAACAACCAAACTTTAATAATAAAGGGTTTAAGTTTTAAATTACCTAAAAAATGATTTTGTACAGGCTTTAGCTTTTCTTACACCACTCTTTAAGCTTGTTAAAACCAATGAGTCTACTGAAATAATTGTAGATTCCACCTTCAAGACTAATCAAGAACGATTCAAACTCTTCATAGTGAATTTAAATTGTTGTGGATATGGTATGCCAGTAGCATATTTGTATCTTACTACGTTAGATAGTAGTAAAGAATCTTGGCATAACTCTAGAAACTTCATAAACATTCGAGTAGAAGTGATACAAATGTTTTTTGCAAGTTTTAGACAAGAAGAGTTGCTGTCAGTATTTATTTTAATAGACAAAGATGCAGGTAAAATATCAGCAACTCAGGAGGCTTGGTCATTAATAGCTAATATCCAACTCTGCCACTGGCATGTTGAGCAAGCTATTAACAAAAGATTAAAGAAAAAAAATCAAGGCAAGCATATATTCATTGAATAAAGCATTGGAAGCTTACCATAAGTTCAAGTTTATAGACCCATTATAGGTTCAAAGTAGTGCTAAATCTCTCTGTTTAGATAACCTAATTAAACAACTTTTAGAGTTGGTTAAAAAACATGCAATCATGTATCCACTTATTCTAGTAGCCAAGGAGTCTTTTATGAATTTGCAAGAAATTTACCATTTCTGTGTTCAAGAAATATACCAATTTTGCTATTTGAATAATCTTAATAAATACTATAAGATTATTTGTGGACTAATTGGTATAATGAAAAGACTAAAAACTATTTGCTTAATCTTCATATTCACAGGCTATACCTTTTGCAAACATGACAATAATTACTGAAAGCCATTGGCAAGTTTTAAAATATAACTATAAATATAACTATAATCACCCTTGTATAAATCAACTTACACAAATAATTGCTAAGCAGCTTGTTCCAAACTTTGAAATTAAATTGGCGCAATATAACAGAAATAGAATTTTTTCATCATGGTGGCATGAGTTTAAAGCAAGGCTACAAAAGCAGAAATCCAGCCTGATGCAAATAAAAGATATTATATTAATAGTAATAACTGGGTATATTCTTGTCCAGCATATATTCACAGTCATTATCATCTCTGTAAACATCATGTTCATGAAAAAAATGGAAAAAAAATTTATACATAAATTTTCAAAAACATCAAGACGATATGATTACCCTTTATTTGTTTTTGGCAAAAATGAGTTACCACCAATCACTCCTATAAATAACCCATGGATCTGGTTTGGCATGACATTAGCTGAAGACAATCCTATTGAGAAGAGTAGTAACAATTTACAAAACTTACAGAATATATTTGTATGAACACGAGTTAGACAATGACAAATTTATAGCCAATTTTGACACTCTAGTAATGCCCTTTTTGAAAGAAATTGATAAATATGAAGAAGTATTACAAAGTTCTCACCAACAAAAAACTTGGACATTAGATAATTCAAAGCTTGCATTTTGGTTGCGCTAATATCATTTTATTTTTATTTAGAATAACTTAGTGAAACTGATACAGTATACAGTATTATTCATGTTCATTTTTATCATAAGTACTATATAAATTCTGAATAAAGTGCAGGATTTAAAAATTATAGTCTTTAAGCGTTCTAAGCAGGAATATATTATCTAAATTCAGAATAAAGTGCAGGATTTAAAAATTATAGTCTTTAAGCATTCTAAGCAGGAAGATATTACAAAAATTTCACGAAACAAAAAAGATCGATACCGTTGTAAAAGCATTATCTACCATATTTTAATCGATATCCCCCTTGATTTGTACCGGGAAAAAACTGGTATAAACCTGTTTTGCTATTTTTAGTTTATAAAATAATTATACAGTAAAATACAGTAATATGATTGGTTCGGATTGTATCACAAATGATCTACAACACGTGATCTGGACATTTTTCTTCGCCATGGCTAGGGTACTCATAAATGCTTTAATACGTAGTAGAAAATTCAGGTTCAATGCTTATTTTATTTTTATTATTTTTTTTTATTAACCCCGAGGTAACAGTTATTTGGGAACTCATTTGGTTCAATGCTTATTAAATTTGTGGTATGTTTTGGATCTGCCAATTGTAAATTAAAGGTTTAGTTCAAAAATTATAAATTGTACAGTAAGCCCAGGATCATTAATAGATGCAATCAATTCTTTCTAAATGCAACTTTAAATTCTGATCCAAGTATATGTTTGGTCTCTATAAATACAATTTTTCTTAATTGTTCTCTAAATGCAAGCTGTCAAAAGTCTGTCCCAACGAACTACACTTAGAATAATTTGACTTTAATGTGTTATAATCATGGGACTCACAAAACTCACAAAAAATCTTAAATTAATCAAATCCAACTAAATCGAAAACATAGATAAGCACATTGACATTTACTTTATCTCTTATACAAATTCGGTAGAAACTAAAATTTTTCAGTGGTTCTATAATTCCTAATTTATAATATTATGTTTAAAATCCAAGTCAAATTAAATTTATAATCTAATAATGTTCTTCCGTTTCATAATGTATAGTTATTCGGCGCGAAATGTATTAAGTATAAAAAATTCCTTTGTTTTTTCTAGATTAATTAAAATCAAAAGGTTTTATAATATACTAATCGTTATCCTACGTTTCTGGTTTTAGTGCGACAACGTCGCACAGTTACCTTATTAAAAATTTAACGAATTATATGGTTATGTCGCAAATTAAGTGGTGTGTCCGCAAAATCCAGCATTTTATTTAACAATATATGTGGCAAAGTGGGGATGTGAATACATATTAGGAATTTCACACGTAGTACCATCACAGAGCATATGTAATACTTTCTTCGGTATACAGGAAACTTCTGCGCACGATTTGATCCACACCTGAATTTATATGAATCCATATTTACTGTTTTTCTCATGAACTATATCACAATTAAGTTTGAAAATTTTTATATTCAAATGTTGTAACAAATGAGAGTAAAAGCATGATTTTCAGACATAAATATTGTGACAGATTAAAATGAAATCGGATTAAAATGCAATTAGGGATAGTGTAAAATAGGCAAGCCACAAAAAATACGATTTTTTGGGGTGCACTTTTTTAGTAATTTTTTAGGGTTAGGTTAGGGTTTAGTTGTAGGTTTTATAATAAACAAGTATAAGTGGGTTTTGGGGTCAAATAGAAACCCCTAATTTCATTATAATCTAATTTCATTATAATTAGTGGCCCGATCCAAATTTTCATATCTATTCACGGGATATTTGGCATTTTTCATTTTTTTTATATAGGATTTATTATCACTAATTAGAGATTGGAAACCGGGTTTAACATATGAAAAATAAAGAACTCTATCACTGATTATAAAAGAAGGATTAAATTTTGTAAATACGACGTTAGTGCCCACGACCCGATTAATACATAAGTATTTCTCCAATTATTTCAATAAGTGACAAGTTATTATGTTTACGTATCTTATTATTCGTGTTGATTTTAATCAATGCAGATAATTTCTTATTCAATTTCTTTATGTTGATCAATCGAATTATTCAAAGATAAGATAAGTTAACACTTAATTTGTTTACATTTTTTTTATTGATTTAATTGCTATTTCAATCGGTTATTCAAAGGTAAGCTGACACTTATTTAATGACACCGAGGGA